TGTTCATAGATTCCAGGAAGTTTGTAATGTATAAAAACCCATGGTGCAAAAAGTCCCGATTTATTTTTATGCCACTCTCAAAAGTGATTGACAGTTGTTGAAACAATGGAAGAGTGCTTGCTTATTAAATGTTACTGAAGTATTTATATTTTATAAATGCCTCAGATAACACCGTGAGACTTAATCAGGCAGGGACTAGAAAGAAAATCAGTTTCTTCTCCAAAGTTCTATGCCACACATATATATACAATATAATTTTCTGTACAATGAGGGAATCAACAGTCATATTTTAGTAACTGCAGTATCCAATACTACTTACTCCTTATATTTACATGTTTTATTCTGAATGAAAGCATTGTTATATAATCTCATACTGGATGTCATATGTGACAGCATCCTGTGCAAATGAAATTTATCTCAGATTGCTGCAGACTGCCATTTAATTTATATATCAATTATTAATGCCACGCTCCACCAAGCACCTTTGCAGTTACCACTCTGTTATCATCTTAAACAGGTTACCAAGAAAATTAGTTTCTTAGTAGTAGTTTTTTCTGTCTGATATATCACTATGAGACCTCTCTTTCTTCAACTGTTAACAGAGCTAGGCTAAAAATCCTATTGTGTAATACAGAAAAGAAATCATGCATGAACTGAATGGGAAGTTTGACCTAGACATAAAATGGTTTGTTATCCTCAGGTGTAGGGTTAGAGACCTTTGCTGGTAAGAGGCAAACTAACTGGAAATTTCTAGCAACAGCAATGTGTTAACAGGTCCAAGAAGGGGCTACACATAGATATTTTAAGCTTTTAAGATTTAAAAAAATAGTAACAAAAGTTACACACACACACACCCCCCGCCCCCCCCCCAAAAAAAATCCTTCAAATTATTTCTCCACATCTTGCAGAAAAGTTGAAGTGAGGGAAATGGAGAGCATTAAACAGCTGGCTGCTGACACCAAACCACACTGCAGTACTGCTAAGAGTAATTTCCTTGAAATGAGGAATGCAAAGGCAAGTCCTGGGCTAAATTTTTCTTAAAAGAACAGGCACATCAACATTCAAACATTAGAAATTAATTTATGATTCAGTCTGTTTCTAGTTACATTCAGAAAAATGATTAAGTAAAAATGGAGCCTTTTTATTCAGACAAATATACTCTGATCTCAGTTTTCTTCATCTAACTCCAACATTAATCTCAATGCCATCCAACAGTTTCAAGTTCATCATGGGTCATCAAATCCTGTGTGCTTTTACTACAAAGAACAGAACAAGAAAGGACTTAAAACACTTAGCCTTTGGTGTGAAACTGTTTCAGTGTTATGTACTTAGGTTGAAAACATAACAGAAGAGGCAGAGTTAAATGTCTCAGGGAGGTTATCCAAAATAACCAGTAAGCTGAGATTTCTAGGAAGCCAATGACAGACACTGGGGACAACGGGTATCCCACCCTAGGTCAATATAGAAAACAGAAATATTTCACTAGGTCATGTTGGCCTTCTGTGCGGGAATAGACTAGTTAGACTATTCACTAAAGCGTGCCTGGATGGGGCACTTTCTCCTCTGCCTGAAAAGCCTGAATATCAGGCAGACAGAAAAAAAAAAAAGAAAAAAATTATGGAAGCAGAGAAGCAAGCGGGGGGGCGGCGGGGCGGGGAATCCAGTTCTACAGTGTGATGACTACAGGATTTAACCAAGGGGGAAGGATGGCAGAGTATCAGGTTCTGCATCCTCTATTCACGATCATTTCTTACTTTTGACTACCCACTATAAAACAGTCCTGAGAGTAGAGACCAAACCTCAGGACTTCCCCATCCCAGCTAAGTGAATAAAAGGAGATATGGCTGAACTCCACAGAACTAAGTACACATTATATAAGCTAAAGAGCCCACCTAATATACCGGGCTTTTCAATAGATTTAGGGGCTGCCTATTTTCTGAATCTCATTGTGGCTTACAGCACTCCCCATCACATCTGTAGGCTCCTGAAGCACTTTCATTTGCAGACACATTGCAGACACATAGGGAGGACTTCGGTATTCTGAATCGAAACGTTTGAGTTAGGCTTCTAAAACCCATTTAAGTACTTTGAATCTAGTCCCAAGCAGATTTTCTTCTTTTCTTGACAGTACAAAACAATCCTGGAATCACACTAGATGCTATTTTGCATCAAGCTGCTGGGAGAAAGCTGTCAAAACAATGTAACCGCAGGATCTTTATTGTAGGGGTGGGAGGAAGGAAAAATGGATGCTCTTAAAAGATTTTTCTGGTCTTAGCATCTACAATATGGTTGCCTTTAGCTCACTGAAATTGTTCCTTCCACCCTTGATATTCCTCTTATAATTTTTTTAATCCATTACATGAAGAACAGATGAATAGCAAGCACTGATGTCACTGTAGAGCCTGTTAGCTCCGTGATCATTAAGAGCAGAAAGATATTTCCAAGTTGTTTCTTATGCAGTCACATTCTTGCCAAAGACCCCACTACACATTTTCACCCCAGGTGCATAAGCAGAGTCTCATCCATGGAGCTGACAATGAAGTTAACAGAAAGGGCCCAATAAGTGCAATCAGAGCCAAGTGATGCTCTCTTTCTGATGCCAGTCCTCTGTTACAAACAGAAGGTGACATTACTCATGCGTTGTTTTGTGCAAGCTCCTAGTAATAGCTACATGTTTTATTCTTCCCACTCACCAAGGAACTAGATGCATATTTTTAAATTAAGTTTTCCATCAAGCCCCAAAACCCATTACAAGTGGCTATTGAATCAACCTTCTCCCCCACTGAAGCAGCATTGAACTGAACCCTCTGATCCAGAAGAAATGGCAGCAGACAGGTAAAGGCCTTGCATTGCTTTGTTTCTCAGATGATCCCCATGATAATTCTATGCCTGTGAGGGAGATGATAGGCCTTAGAGCGTAGTAGGATAAATGGTGGAACAGCAGTTTATAAGATTTGCTTCATCATTCAACAGTGCTTTTGGAAAGACATAATAGTGCAGTTAGCACTTTCCAGCATGATACAGAGCTTATACAATTACTATCGTAATTACTTCATATATACAAACTGGTCTGCCAGACTAAAAACCAAACCAATTTGCAGTGCATTGTTAACGTATCAATAAAGTCAGTCCAAGTCTATCACATGAGTATACTTTTCTCAAACACTAAAATAAAAAACAGCTTATTGTGATAAAGTACCATGAAAGTCACAACAGCATGAAAAAATGCGAAATTACACACTTCATCGTGTAACCTAGATAATGCAAGTCGGATGCAAAAGTTTCTTCTGAATCGTAACAATACTGTTACCAAGCTCAAACTCCAAATCAAGAGTAGACTTCTGTTATTGTATAGTATGCAAATGTATACATCTGTGAAGTCATTTTAACCTATCCCCTCAGTCAGCATATATAGAATAGCTAGACTGGAGACTAGGGCATAACTTTACAGGCTAAAAGTCCCTCCATGAGTAAAAATAAAATTCTGCCACATTAAAAATCTGGATTACATTATAGAAGAACCCTTTGGGCTTAAGAACTATTGGCGTTCAGCTCAACTAAAGCAAATACTAGCTGATTCAACTAAGGATTGCATCCTGGAAGAGCCACGAGTCTTCAGTTCTTGCTTAACTTCAGCAGAACATATGGCAGATGCGATTATCTCCCCATCTTGCAGTATATAGGCTTAAAAACACATTACCCTCATCTCTGAAACTACAGCTGCCAAAAGTTGTATTAAAAATTGTCACTTGTTATAACAATATTTATGGTCTGTCCTGGAGCCCAGTTTGGTCATGTTGAAAACAAATAAAAAACATCTTCCAAAGTTGCAGTACAAAAATTAAACCTGATCTAAATTTGTAACAAGTATCTCTATGCCAATTATGTCTGAGAACTTTTTAAACTCCATAATATCTCGTAACTTCTAGTCTTTAAATTCTATTTTGAAAGTAAAACCTGGCAAAGCAGGTTTCCTTCTGAATATACAACTTACATAACAGTACACATATAACGTGTAACTTAGAGAAATGAATGCATTCCTCATATAATGCAGAGGGAGATTGAAGTTTCAGTCTCTACAAAAGGCTTAACCAAAAATGAGGCAGCATTACATAGAGCAAAACTGTAAAATAAAAGCTTTCCCAACGTGCTCTCAGCAATTCCGAACAAAAACTAATTCTCCGATTCAACCATCTAAACATTTACCATCTGTTCTTAAAACGTCTTTCTGCAAAATTTTTGGGTCTCTTTTCCATTTATTAAACATTCTCCAGTATTTCTGAAATACTCTTCCATATCTTTCCTAATTTTTTGGTTACACATTCCATTTCTTAATACTTCTAACAGCCCCTTTCACAACAGTCTCTCAAAAGGATTAATAGCACAGTACAAACACTGTAAAGTCAAATAAATCTTACAGGACAAAGGGACAGAGAACTAAGCCCAACTGAGATACGCTCTTGTAAGTAAGTTTACTCAGTTTAACTTGCTTCAACTTGCTTTTCTTTTCCGGCAAACATTTTCAACCAACACTCGCCTCATCTCTTCCCCCTTCAATTCTTTACCCTTGAATTTTCTGCATAAGTTACAAGTATTTTACCCCAGATACAATATCCTACTCTTAGTTTTAGTCTGCTCTCTACCTAAAAGAGAAAAGATGACAGAAATACAAGCCATAAATATGCACTAACCTGGTGACCATGCCTGATCGACACATAGTTTTTCTGCTGACAGTTTCACCGAATGATTGTTTCCTTTGTGATGACAAAGCCATTAATAACTTATGACCCCTCTCAGGCATGACAGGAACATCTCTGCACTTCTCCCCGTTTTGCGTATTATAAGGTTAAAAAAAGTGGCTGTGATAGCTGCTGTATGCTCAACACACAAAAGGAAAAGAAACCCTGCCCCAACTGCTTGTGCATCTGCACTGCGGCCAAAAGGGACGCCTAGGCAATGACTTGTTTCCTTTGTTACTTCCTGTTTCCCCCAGTGTTAGTGGGCAGCACTATCTTTGTCAGATTTCCCAACTTCCCAGAGAGGTTATAAAATCAAACCCTGCATACCTCAAACCTCTGTCAGATGGCGAGCCAGAAAGCAGAGGGGATTTTCCAGTGCTCGCTTGCTTCCGACTCACCTTTCAACAACTACTTTCCCTTGGGAGAAAAAGGAAGTAGTCCTTTTTTCTTACAGTGTACTCAGGCTCTCACACCAGCAGAGACACAGCTCAGAAATGCTGCCTGTGCTTCTGAAGAGCCTGTGCTTCAGGTACTGGCACTGCACCACAGAACTATGATAAGTATTTCACCTCTCTTTTCTCTCCTGTAGCTGGAGCTTGTCCTTCCCTCTTCAACGCAAGAAATTAAAAATAGCTATTTTGAAAGATTATGCAGCATATACATGCTTTAGAGCAAGTCTTGCCTGTATGTCTGACGCTACACAAACTACAAAAGACAATAAAATTTGAATCCAAGAGGCTTACAACGCAAGGGCATCAATTCTACAGGACAAGTACCGCCAACTGAGGTAAGAGGCTTACAATGCAAGGGCATCGATTCTACAGGACAAGTACCGCCAACTGAGGATGAATAAATGCCATTGTTTTACACTTACTTTCATCTGGAGCTCTTAAAAGGATTCAAGTGTTTCACTAACTTTGTCTGGAATTAACCAAGACCCCGGGCTAGAAAGTTCAAATAAGACAAAAACAACTAGCAAGTTTCAGAATGATGGACAAAACCTACATACATGAGCATGCCAAGTAAAGCTTACTTCACATATTTTTAGGGAAATGGACGTGAATCTGTACTCCAAAATCAAAGGAAGAAGTTTCCATATAACGTCTTTTCTTTTTGTAAACTACCCAACAGTCAAAGCATAGAAGAAAATAACATTTCAGATACTGGCGATGGCTGTATCGGCTAGAAAAGCAATTCTCAGTCTTCACCACAGGGCACCCATTTGCACTCCTTCCATAGCCAGGCTATTTAGGAAGGGGAAGCAAACCATAAATATCGCACACCTGTTGTTAGCTAAAAGGATCAGCATATCAACACAAAACCCCAATGCTATTTAGTAAGAATCAATCCCCAGTTGTCTCAGTGGCTTAATTAACAGATTTTTCACACAGAAAAGATGTGCTACATCTCAGCAGTTTGTGAAGTGAATTCACTTGCTTTATCTGTTACAATATCAGTTACCAATTTAGACTTTAAGCATTAACACACAATGCTTTAAAGCGATCTTTCCATCCCCAGTTCTCTGCTAACTAAGCAAACTCTTCTAAGCTTGCATTACCGTCTTTGCAACCTTTATCTCTACCTCAGTAAAAAAGCTACATAAAAATGACAGCATTTGAGTGTATGTATCACTGGAAAAAAATCGGTTCCTCTTTTTGGTTTTCCCCTCCCAACTCCGCAACTATACTACCATGCTCTTTGGCCTCAACAGTCTCATTCTAATTATGTCTCATTTATCCAAGACATGTTCCTGAAGTACTGCTTTTCTACTCTAACCTTTCTGATGCTGTCCTCTCCCGTTCTTCACTTAAGCATTCAGAAATACAGAAATTTTCATTTCAAGTTCCAAGATCCCCTTTCAATTTTCCTGGTGATTTCCAACACTGTCAAGATGGTCACAGAGTTAGAACAGAGGCCATTTCACACATGCACACAGACAAGTTGGTGTTCCACTGAGGAACACACACACACAAAAAATTTTTAGATGTTTCAGTTTTGGAAGAATGAAAATTCAGCTTAACTTTCTGACCAAACATTAATCAGAAGGGTTATGTTTCAAAATTGCACATAAAGAGTCTGAAGAGACATGAAAACCTTATGGATTTGATTAACATGTCAGGGAAGTGAAAGAGTATTAAATTTATCCTTCTTCACAACACAAAATTTAGTGTTGCAAAGAACCCTGGTATATGGTTTTCAGACCACTAACCTTCATTTGTCCCCACAAAAATCAGTGGTGAGAAGCAGCCTTGCATCAAGCTAGCCTAGGGAGAATTTAACTCAAAAGGAGTGACTTCATTTCTTCAACATTATGAAATTTCACTCAGATAGCCTTAATAGGAAGAACCAAAGCATCAGAAACCAACATTTGGATTTCATTCCAGCAGGGCCACTGTCTGAGCAAGTCAGCCAATCATCTCTGCCATTGCTAGGAACAGGTCTTGCTCCCTGTCATAAGCAGTCCTACTTATCTTTAGCTAATGGAAGGCAAGAGCAATAAAATATACATCTAGCATTATGCTGTCCTTGACAGTGTAAGTTCACAAATCTAGCTGACAGGTTGAGTTGTCTCTGCAGCAAGAGAGCTTCCTCTAGCTGACCAATTTACAGGAAACTGCAAGAATGGACTCTAAATAAAAAGCAGCATGAGAAGACCACAGCAACAGGCAAGGAAGAAAAATTAAGAAAGCAACAAAAAAAATCAAAATAGCGTAAAAACCACTTTCCTTCAGCTGCAGCAAGTAGTCAGCTCAGTAGTCAAGTTCTACTCAGAATAACATGAGTTCATACATTATATATTCCCATAAAAGCCTACAGTATAGTAAGGCATTAAAGAAGGCCACATTCTGTTGAAGTTTCACTGACTTTAAAGAACTTGAATCAGGAGTAGATTATTATGAGTTTTATTATTTTATTAATTCTACCAAACTAGTTTAGTCCCACGTTTCTAGATCACAGTGGAAACACATCCACTATATTGAGAGATGATGTATCTCCACAACTGCAGATTGTAAAAGAGCAAGTGTAAATTACTCGCCTGAATCCTTCATCTGCTAGGTAAGGCAGTCCTGTGAAAATGTGAATAACCATGCATCAGAATTACTTCTGCTGGGTGACCTGCAGAATAATAATTCAAAAAAAGAAAAGGAAAAAAAAAAAAAAAAATCAGCAAAGGAGAGAAATGAGGCCAGAACTTCCAAAAATCCTCTTTCAATGCCAAAAGAATTCCTATTCTTTAAACTTCAACTATAATTCCCTCATTCAGCTTACTTAGGAAGAGCTGAAGAAGCCCTAATAATATATTTACTTTACTTATATATATTTAAAAAGTAGCTGAAGCCTTGATAATATATATTCAATCTAAAACTGAGAAACACCTCAAGTCAAAAAGCTTCTGAGTTTCTATTTATACCCCACTGCTCTTAAGCTCTGAACATCTGTGGACCTATTGTTGGCTTGGAACTTCAAAAAAGCCAGCCAGCACTGGTCTGCAATAAATAAGCCACAGTTCAGAGAAAGAGCGTATCAATTTTAAAACAAAGTTGTAACTTTTCTTGGTTGTTTCACCAAACAGTTTGGCACAAGTCCTAGAAGATGATATGCTGACTTTGATTTTGGGATACAGTTAATGTCATATATCGCTCAAAGTATTTGCAGTATACGCATAGCTTGTAAAAAACAAATTACGCTGTGCAGCTGGAAGAGAACCTTCTGCAAACTCTCAATATAAGAACATTATCATTTAACAGATTCTCTTACATCAGCTAGCCTTGAAAAATAACCTAAGACTTCATACTGATGTAAATAAGGATTGAATTAAAATCAGTATAGCTATCCTAGCATAATTTTCTGTGTTGGCAATTTTATTATGAGTAGCTTTTCAAGTTAAGTTTAAGGGATTTCTACTGAATCAAAAGGCCCCTCAAAACTGTATAGGAGTATTCACCTCCCTATATAGGAGTTTGAGATAACTGGGTGTCAAGTCTATACCAGTCAGACTATACCAGTAACACCTGGTATAAGTAACACTTAAAATAGAAGGCAAGTTCTAAAACATCTTCGCTGCTTATCATATTTCTTTAAAATAAATTCAAAGACACACTACCAAGCAAGACTTCCATTTACTATTCAAACCAGATGGACAACTTCTTTGTTTGTTTAACTGTTACCTATATACAAGGTCCTTGTAAAAAAGACTGTAAATGCAGCTATGGTTATGATTAAATTATATCCTTCATCAGTGCTTGTAGAACAATTTAAACTAAACCATAGTTAAAAAAAAAAAAATCACGTAACTGAGCAGAAGTACAAACACGACTGCCAAAGTCCTATTCCTGCAGTTGTGCTGCAGACAGCTGCAAAGGGAGTTTCCCCAAATACACGTAGACACTTGAAGTGGGAGTTTCCACAAATTACTTATTTCCTTGGCAGAAGTTTTCGATTCTAAGGTATTACAGTTGAAACAATTTTACCGCTAGGCTGGTTTGTGATGAACTACATACAATTCTATCACTAATGTACTCATAATAGATAATTTAGGAAGTACTGTTAGACAACAAAATAACTTCTGCTTACATGTCAAAACACCTTTAAGCATTTAAGCTGGCAGACCATTGGACTTCAGTAAAAACAACACCGGTCACGAGCGGTGTTCCCCAGGGC